AATTACCTCCAAAGATGATATGACCTTTGACTGCCAAATCAAGTTAAAATCATGTAAACAGGATTTTTTCAATGTTAATGTCACTGTGACCTTGACCTTGGAGCCAGCCATGCGAACATGCGTTCTGCACGTCATCTTGATGTGGTAAACATTTGTCTGAAGTTTCATCAAAATTCTTCAAAGGGTTTGAAGAGTTACAGAGCGGACAGGATTTTCAATGTTAATGTCACTGTGACCTTGACCTTGGAGCCAGCCATGCGGAACATGCGTTCTGCACGTCATCTTGATGTTTGTGGTAAACATTTGTCTGAAGTTTCATCAAAATTCTTCAAAGGGTTGAAGAGTTACAGAGCGGACAGGATTTTCAATGTTAATGTCACTGTGACCTTGACCTTTTGGAGCCAGCCATGCGGAACATGCGTTCTGCACGTCATCTTGATGTGGTAAACATTTGTCTGAAGTTTCATCAAAATTTTCAAAGGGTTGAAGAGTTACAGAGCGGACAGGATTTTCAATGTTAATGTCACTGTGACCTTGACCTTGGAGCCAGCCATGCGGAACATGCGTTCTGCACGTTCATCTTGATGTGGTAAACATTTGTCTGAATTTCATCAAAATTCTTCAAAGGGTTGAAGAGTTACAGAGCGGACAGGATTTTCAATGTTAATGTCACTGTGACCTTGACCTTGGAGCCAGCCATGCGGAACATGCGTTCTGCACGTCATCTTGATGTGGTAAACATTTGTCTGAAGTTTCATCAAAATTCTTCAAAGGGTTGAAGAGTTACAGAGCGGAAACAATTTCGTTTGACGCCCCGCCCGCCCATCCGCCCATCCCCCCAGCCCCGCCCATCCGCCCATCCGCCCATCCGCCCGCCATACCCCAATCTAATAACCAGGATTTTTTCAAAATTGAAAACCTGGTTAAAAAGGTATGGCAAATGTCCTATAATGCAGACAGAGGTGTTCAGATCCACTATCAGTAAGGAAGTGTTCCCTTCCCTGTCAGGGGACCATTACTGGCCATGGTATATGAAATCACAAAAAAGATACTGTAAAAACTTGATTTTTTCATTTTTAAAAGCTCTGAACTATTCACTAATGAGGGGACATAAGATAAGTTAGTTAACATAAACCCTTTAAAAATATATGAATGGCTAGCTATTCATTTAACCCTTTCCCTGCCAGAGGGTTATTGTTATATGTTCACCTATTTGCCAGAGGATTTCTTAAGAAATTACTATATTATTAATTAATATAATTATTATTATTTGTTATTAGTTTATAAATAATTATATATGTTTCCAAATCTGTTAGTTTTTAATAATAATAATTAATGTCGATGGGATAATTTTCTTTATATTTATTATTATTTTTATTATTATTATTATCAATTTATTATTATAACTATTATTTTTATAGAAACGGCTAAAGCCGTCCAATCTATGGCAAATACGCGAAAAAAAAACAGGAAAGGATTAATCAAGATCACTAAACGATCAAGCTTGGAAGTTGTTTAAAATTTATATGATAAGGATATTTTTATTAACGGTTTTAGAAACGATTTCTATTTTTGCGTGCGGTTTTCAGCTTGCGTATATCGTGTAGCGTATTTTGTTTTGCATGCGTTTGCGTATTTTCGTTTCATAAAAGGGGGTTGCGTGTAACGTGTGTTCGTATAGCATGTAACGTGCATGCGTTTTTTTCCGCAACGTGCCCGTTTTGCGTTGTAAACTGAAACGTTCACCCTACTGTATCACATACACAAAATAAAGACCTTTTTAAAGTGAAACAAGAGTAGTTTTTTCATTTATACGGCCTTATAGTATAACGCTACCATTTAGCCCATCTTTACATAATTTTTTATTAACGCTAATGAGGTCATGTCAAATTATATGCATGGATGTGCAATTATATTTACTGAGTGGCAAAATCGGCACTGGTGTGTGATTAAAGCATATTAATACGGGGAAGTCAAAAGGTCCGGGCTTTGACTTGCCCGGCTATAGACTACATGTGTATATTTGGAAAAAAAATCAAATAAAAAAACAATTAAAAGATATATAGAATTCTTATACCTATCAATGAAATTTTCAGTGTCAGTTCTAGTCGGGGCCACCATTTACAATGTATCTCAATGATAAAAGGCGGGGGTATTCCGATAACGGAACAAATCTCAACTTTTCCGATAAATAATAAACGTCGAGTGTTTCCGAGTGAAAAGGGAAGCGCGTGCATGTAATACGAATGACATTTTTTTAAAAACGGAAAGAAAGAAAGGAATTTTTTAACGACTTCCCCGTTCATAGGCTTTCCTAATATTATCATTACATATTAAGCGCAGGTCAATAAGTTTCAATTTTAAGTGATATGAAAAATATTTTCTGTTGTGCTGTCTTTGTAAATCTAATAATTTTCCTCATTTTTTTTCCTCTTGATTACAGTTTTACACCTCAAATAAAATTGCGTTCTTAAATATTTATATAGATCTATTACTAATATATTGTAATGTCCTAGAAATTTTACCTTTTTTAGTGATTTCGCTGATTATTTCTACTTTCACTTTCGTTTTGAGAAGCTTTACTGGCGACAAGACAGTAAATCATATGCGGTGTCCTAATGGAACATACAGGACATCAACTTAAATCTACGTATTGTGCCAGCAATTAATCATTCCTGATTCTGGAAGTTTTTCCTTTAATGTTATCCATTTCCCTCAATGTTATCCGTGGTAGAATCCTGTGTTTTTTTATCTGTTTTCGTGACTTCTGTCAAAATAGTTAATTCCTTTATTTTACACTCAAGATTATATATTTCGATTGTTTATGATGCAGCCTCACTTAATATATAGATTTGCCACATAAATCCATCTAAATATTTATAAAAATTTGCAATGAATTTTTCAATGTCGGCCATTTTGGACTATTACGTAGAGATTACGTAGTGATTGCAAGGGATAGTTCTTTATCCAATTGCGCATAAAAAGGAACACTTTACATTAACTTTTTTACTTTCGATATTAGCGCATGATAGCTTATAAATATATCTAAAAATCATTTGTTGAGGCTGTGACAAAAATTTATTTCGGTGCTAGGTTGAGTGCATTTCAGTTCTTACATAAACTCGTTTAAAATACATTTTTATTTTATGCTTTTCTGTGGATTACTGATTTATCCGTGAAAATTAAATTTGATAATTTCACAGTGAAAATTATCAAAATATAATTTCACACTTTTCAATGACGAAACTACTTTTTTGAGATTTTCCCCATGTGGTACCTCAATTTTATTTTTGCTTACAATTCTGACAATGTCAGGCTGTTTAAAGAAAAGCAAAGCTGAAATTGATAAATAACTTAAATGTCAAAAGTAATAAAAAGAAGAAAACTTACTTCTATTCATTTCAAAATCCAATCCCAAAATTTCGTCTCTAAATTTTTTTGTTTAATTTTTACAGTCTGAAAAATACATTCCTTCCACATGCAGATTGCTCTTGTTGACATTTGGGCATATTAAAGTATCCTACGAGCAATAACTGCCGTATGCTTTATGAAAAATTGAAAAGCATAGACAGCTATCAGCTCGTAGAACAAGTAAACCACCCACAGCGTTCCGAGCAAGTTCCAAGTTTTCCATTTTCATAGCTGCTTTTTTTAATGTTTTCACATCTGTCAACACTTATTTTTTGTCTGTTTTAATCCTCAAATATGTTTTCTTTCTTTTAAAAAGGTGTATGACTAACAAATCCAAATGATATCCCTCTGAATCAAACACAATTATTTTCCTCCCGTGAAATACACAACTTTAAAAAATGGCTGCCGCTTACATTTAACAAAGCCAGGTCTAATATAAAGACTTAGTTATATTCCGGTTCCGCTTGCAGACGGCATGCAAAAATAAACAAATAAACAATCAAAAACTGTAGTCCTGCCAATCAGAGAAAGGTTCTAAAAGTAACGTACACATGATTACTGACTCCATGCCTATGTTATTGAGTAAAGATAATAGTGCTAGAAACTGGTAATGTTCAAAGAAAAATCTACGTATGAAATCACCCCACCCACTCGCGCTGGAAGAACGCTAATGGTTACACGGTACTAAATTATATACGCTAGACACACGAAAGATGATATTGGGTAATAGAGACTAGTTTAAATGAAGTTAATGCTTATTGTGTTCCTAAAAACTTTTTGAAATATGGATAAAAAAGTTTGCAAATGGGGAAACACTGTATGAAAATAACGCACCCACTCGCGCTGAAAGAACGGTATAGGTTGTACAGTACTAAATTGTATATGCCTGCACAGACTATATTACATGCAAGATGATTTCTGAAGGATTAGAGACTATTAAAAAGGAAGTGTATGCTTCAAGTGTGCCCTACGCATTAAATATTGACAAACAACTTGGCAAAACACTGTCAGCAGCAAGACGGCCAGTTAACTTTAAGATTGTTGAGAAAGGGGGTAACTATGTTGTGGAAGCTGATGCTGCAAATTTTGAAGCGTTTCGTTCTGCGTGTAAATGTTATTATGACTATATTAAGCACTCCGGTGATGTTAAGGTGACCACTGAAAATAAGGAAGATCTAAAGGGAAACTTGGTGCAAGTTATTTGGTGGATTGAACACAGAAGAAGTGAACTTTTTTTACATATACTTTGAATTTTTACACTACAAAGTGCTCGTGCATGCTTAATGGCAAAAACCCTTTGGTATTCTTCGACTACGATCTACCAGGAATAATCAAGTACTTTAAAAATGATAAGGACATGTGTGAATTGAACAAAATACTTGCTGACGAAATACTAAAATTGCAAAGTTTGAGAAATGTGACTGTTACCACCAGTGAGATTATTGAACCACAAGGGACACTTGATAACGATATTTCATATTCCAAGGAGGAGCCTTCTGCTAGCCTAACTGCTAAGGGCCCCCCCCCCTTGCAGTAGTTTTATTTCAGATAAGGTGCAGACGTTGAAACAGGCAAGATCTATCAGCAAGATGTGTAGCATGTGTGCAGACGGGCGTGAAATAGTGGATGATGATGTGATTCAGTGTTCTAACTGCTCGGCTTGGTGCCACTTTGTGTGCACCAGACTACCACGGTATCAACTTTATGTATATAAGACATCAACACGAAAATACACATGTGAAGTGTGTGTGAAATGTCCAGAGGATTTCATAATACTTGAAAAGAAAACCCTTACGAAACAGGCTAGTGACAATGAAAGGAAAAGTTATGAATCAAAATCAACACAGTCTAGTTACATTGAAATAAACAGTCGTGAATCTAAATCAACACAGTGTAGTAACATTGAAATAAAAAATTGTGAATCAAAATCTACACAAACAGCTGCAGAAACTACTACCTACCAAAATAATGAAAGTTTAGAAATTGGACTTGTGAAAATTCTCGACCAGGTGTCAGAGGTGAACAAACACCTGCAGAAATTAGATGTACCAAATGACATTCAAGATTTACGTACAGAACTTGAAAAACAGCGTGAATGCAACACAAGATCAAATGTTGAAAAACAATTTGAAAGTAGAGAAAATAGAGAAAAGTCAAAAAATAGTCAGTTAATCATTGAACTAGAGAAAGAGAAAGCAAAGAACAGTAAAATGACTATAGAAATGGAACTTGAAAAAGCAAAGGAGAAATCAAGATACAGTAAACTATTGTATGAATCAGAGACTGAAAAAGTGAAACTGAAAAGTGAGATTGAGTCAAATAACATTAAACTATCTTGTCAGGAAAAATCTCAGAATATCTTCCATACTGAACTGAATATGATGGAAAAACGATTTAAGCAGAAATGTGACGAAATAGTTGAACAAGATAATTTGATTAGAAACCTGAAGTGTCAAATTAAAAAGCTGGATGAGGAAATGTTAAGTATAAAACTCTTATTAAGTGCTGATAATGCCACTCAACCTTGGGAAACTGTCGCTGTAAACAATAACAAATCAACCACAACACAAACAAATGAAAAAGTCACGAAAGCAACAGAGACTCTTGAGCAAAATCCACATACAAATACAGACAAGAGAAACAATCAAGATAGACGGAAATCAAATCATAGCCAGGATAGCATTAACAGAGACAAACCGACCATTATAGGAAAAAGATACCCAGATCAGTCAAAAAGTAACACCCATAACAAACACATGTTAATGGTAGGAACTTCAAACATTAAATATCTCAGTGCAAAGTACATGGCTGACTTTGGGAGAAATAATCTGTATGTAAAGAAACACATAAGATATTCTTTGAAGGACACAAAAGATTTTATAAAAGGATATGAGGGAATTCAGCCCGACATGCTTGCATACCTAGTAACCTGTAATGACCTGGAGAAAAATAAATGTGACGACATAGTCCGAGATATGGAAGACCTTATCGATACCACAAATACTATGTTTGGCAATAAGCCTATTGTCATATCTCTACCACTACCAAGGAAGGAGAGGGACATCAACTTGAAGGCGCAACAAGTGTCGGCGGCTTTCAGAAACAAGCTCTAAAGATTCCAGAATGTGACATTCAGTGACAACTGTAACCTTACATATAGGGGACTACCCCTAGATGGAATACTGTGTGATAAGAAACATCTATCAAGGTGGGGAACAGAAACTTTAGCAAGAAACCTGAGGGATGACTTTGCTGAACTGGTGATTAAGGGACAGTAGATAGCCTATAATGTGACAATTAATAGTATAAATTTGTATACTGGTATTAAGATCATAATATGTTGTTTTGTAATATCTAGCAACCTTCATAGTATAAGTTTGTATGCATGTGTATTAAGATCATAGTATGTTGTTTTTTAATACCAAGCAACCTTAATAGTATAAATTTGTATGCATGTGTATTAAGATCATAATATGTTGTTTTGTAATATCTAGCAACCTTAATAGTATAAATTTGTATGCATGTGTATTAAGATCATAATATGTTGTTTTGTAATATCTAGCAACCTTAATAGTATAAATTTGTATGCATGTGTATTAAGATCATAATATGTTGTTTTGTAATATCTAGCAACCTGAGTCATTATTTACTGTTGCTCTAAGCAGTACTTTTTAGTAAATATAAATATATATTTTTCTTTCTTTCCTCTCAGTCTTAACGGAAAATAAATTAATAACTCAGTTAAAAATAAGATAAAATAAATGATAATATTGATTTTTAAACATTAATTTAAAAATGTATCAGATCTATAATTTCTATAAGATCTTGCTCTATGTGAACAGTCAATTTAACAAGTAATGTAATTTTGTTTTGTCAATGTATTGGCTAATGTTATATGAGTCAGTATTACAATTAAGGTAAATAAATGTTAGATGGTTGTACTGTATATTCAGTAAAATTCATTCTATTTATGAAGAAAATTTATCATGTGTTACGTGTTAACATTTAGGAGCAGTAGAATTCTCCGTTGCAATTATTTGTATATCTCACATTATACTTACATTTGGAGAATTTTAATGATGTTAAGTATTTTAGGAGTTCAAACATGATTTGATGACACTTTGCCTTATGAGGCCGACTACAGTTATTTGGTTGTTTGTTACTGTTGTATAGTTGTTACTTAATATGTATCAGAATTTGGGAAGTTTTTTAAGGATTGGATGCTGGAATGTTAATGGTCTGACAAATAAGCTTACAGAAAAGGAATTTATTAGAAGTATTGAAGGTTTAAGATATTCTCTGCTTACAAGAGACAAAATGTGATATAGAAAAGGGTATTTGCATTGATGATTATGTGACTCATGCTGTTTATAGACCAACAGAGAAAAAATTATCCTGTGTCTGGAGGGAATGTTATTTTTACTTAATCCTGGTATAATCTCAGGCATTTCAATATCTGAAAATACATGTAGTGAAATTCAATGGTTTGAAACTATGTAAACATTATTTTTCATTGGAAAATGATCTTTATATTTGCTTTACTTATATGGCACCAGAATACTCTTCATATGTATTAAGACATAACTTAGACATTTTATCTATTATTGAAAAAGATATAAGCCATTATAGTAATTTAGGAGATATTATGCTTTTTGGGGATACAAATGCCAGAACAGGAGTTGAAAATGATTTGTTAGATGCTAATTGTTAACACATTTGCCTGCCCCATTTTTGAAGGGGAATACTGGGTCATTTCTGAAAGAAAAAGCCAAGATAGTGTTTGTAATAGTAGAGGTAAGGAATTCATTGATTTATGCATATCTGCAAACTTAGTTATTTTAAATGGGCGGACTTTTGGAGATTTAGGTGGAAAGCCCACATGTTTTCAGTATAATGGAAACAGTGTTGTTGATTATTGTGTTGTTATTGATGAGCTATTTGATAAAGTTTTGTATTTTCAAGTAGAGAACCATATTCCATTTTTTAAGTGATCATGCTAAATTGAATGTAAAAACTGTATGCAAAATTCAAAAATGTTAACATTGAAAGTACACTTTTAGATATGCCTACATCCTGGAAATGGACAGATACATCTAGTTTAGATTTTAAAATTGCTCTTTCCTCTATTGAAATTAAACAGAAAAATTGAGAGTTTTGACAGTGATCCTTTGCAAAATGTTGATCAAATGGTAAACTAATCTTAATGACATTTTGTATACTGCCTGTAACAAATCAATGAAGAAAAAGTTAAAAGTTAAGAAAACTAGACCGGTCCAGTCAAAAAAAAAGAATGGTTTGATAGTGACCTTAGTATGATGCGTAAAGAATTACTACGCAGAAAAGTTCACTGTATTCTAGAAAGCCGTATGACAATATTTTAAAAGGATCATTCTATAAGTATAGAAAAATTTATAAACGTTGTTGTAAGCAAAAGATGAATACCTTTAAAAAAGGGATTATTTCTAGATTAGATAGTATGTTAGGTTAATAATCCATCTGAAATATTGGGAATTAGTTAAAGATCTTAGGAGGAAGCCTAGCAAATGATCCTGCTAATAAGATATCGGCAAAGGATGGAATAAAACATTTTACAAATCTTTTTTGTGTAAAGAAGGAGTTTGAACATATTGACAAGAAAATATGCTGATTTACTTCAAATTGTTGAAAAAATGAAAACCTTCAATGAGCTAGACTTTGCAATTTTCTGAAAAAGAAATATCCAAAGCCATTTCTTCATTGAAAAAACAAAAAATCTTCTGGTCTTGACTCCATTACTAATGAAATGATTAAAGCTAGCCAAAGTTTTCTTTTTGTCAAGTTTTTAAAAAATTGTTTAATTGTATACTTTCAAGCGGTGTTTATCCATCTTCATGGAAAGTTGGTTATATTAAAGCAATTCATAAAGGTGGTGATACTAATGACCCCAACTGCTATAGGAGTATATCTGTTATGCCATGTCTATCAAAGGTATTTAATTGTATAATGAATAATAGATTACAAAATTTATAGATAATGGAATTATTAATGAAGCACAAATTGGGTTCCAACCCAATTCCAGAACATCTGATCACATGTTTGTAGTGAAAACATTGATAGATAAATTTTTCAGCAAGGGACCTAATTATATACATGCTTTGTTGATTTTGCAAAGGCATTTGATAATGTTATTCACTCCCTTCTTTTGTATAAACTATGTAATACTGGCATATCTGGACCTTTTTTCAACGTTGTTAAAAAACATGTTATTGCTCAAATGTGATGCACATAAAAGTTGGTAATAAGTTAACAGAAAAAAACATTCTCTCCCCAGATGGGGGTGCGTCAAGGGGACAATCTTAGCCCAAATCTTTTTAAGATGTTTATTAATGACTTGCCAGCTGTATTTGATAGTAGTGATGACCAAGTGTGTCTAAATGATGTAAAAATTAGTTGTTTGTTGTATGCAGATGATTTGTTATTGTTGTAAACTACACCAAAAGGTTTACAGAATTGTTTGAATAAGTTATCAACATTTTGTGACAATAATGGTCTTATAGTAAATCTTAAAAATACAAGTATTTTGACCTTTTGTAAAAGTGGAAGGCTTTCTAGTAGAAATTCTACTTTAAGGGAACTGAAGTTAATCATGTTAAAAGTTATAAATATCTCGGAATTATTTTTGCATCATCTGGTACTTTCAGTTACTGCCAAGAAGATCTTTATAAAAGAGCACTGAAAGCAAGTTTTAAGATTAGTAAGGTTTTTGGTCAGCTACACCAAAATGTTGACACTATCATCCATCTTTTTGATCATACTATTAAACCCATTCTTCTGTATGGTAGTGAGATTTGGGGTATACCAAATATTAGTAGTTCTATTGTTAAAAAAAAAACAGATTATGTGTTGTTGAAATCCTTTGGAAATATGTCCTGTGATAAGATGCATGTGAAATTTTTAAAATATATTCTGGGTGTACACAAAAAAAACATCAAATGAGGCAGTATGCGGTGAACTAGGACGGTATCCACTATTTATTGATGTAATATGTAGTTATGTTAAGTTTTATCAAAGACTGCTAAATGGAAATGTTAGCAAATTACTATCTGCTGCCTTTATTGAAAGTCAAACATTATTTACGGATAATAAAGTTTGCTAGGTTTCTTGTGTACAACATTGTTTTAAGCATTTTAGGTATATCTGATGCTGGTTTAACCAATAAGAACTTAGTAATGTTGTTAAACTCAAGTTAGTGAAAATGTACCAAACCAACTGGTGTTTGAATATCTCGGGTACTGAAAGGGAAACTTAGAACATACTCTTTGTTTAAACAAAGGTTTTGTAGAAAAGTGTACTTTAGACATATTAAGGACAAAGATATAAGAACTTTCTTCACCAAGTTTAGAGTAAGTGCACACAGATTGAATATAGAAACAGGCAGATATAAAAAGATCCCAGTAAATCAAAGGTATTGTAACTGTTGCTCTTCCAATCTTGTAGAAGATGAAATTCATTTTTCCATGTGTTGTACAAAATTTGATAGTAATAGAGAACTACTATTTAGACAAATTGAAATATCAAATAAGAACTTTTGTATGTTGAATAATAAGCAGAAATTTGTTTGGTTAATGTCCTCGGAAGACCCTAGAGTCTTGAATGTCTTTTCTAAATACCTACTCGAAATTTATAATAAAAGAAACCTCATGTTAAGTAGTACTTTTAGTAATAAAAATTTGTCAGACCATTGAATGTATATTATTGTACTTGAATATCGAATGAGTAATTATAGTTTTTTTTAAATACTGTTTTATTTATTTACTTCTTATTTTAACATTACTATGCCTGTGTTATTTGTTTTTCCAATAGTACGAATTAAGCTTTAGTTACTTTATTGTCTTCATTTCTACCATACAATACACAATTTGTTGGTTGATATATTTTGTTTTATGCCTTGTGTTTTATGCTTGTGATTATATATGTCATATAGTATGACCCTTGATTGGTGAAATAAAATTATTCTATTCTATTCTATTCTATTCTATTCTATTCTATAAATTCGCAGTAAGTAACAGAAATATGGATGGATGGTTGGAATTTTTCTCCTCTCTTCTTGTTTGTTTTTATTATTAAAACAAGC